ACAATGCTAGTTTACTATTGGCTATTGCAAATTTAAATAGCCAATAGTAATGTACCAATGCTTTTCAATGGGAGCCGCCGGACAATAGGAAACTATTGGGCGGAGCTAGCTGTCACTGCTAGCTCCGCACAATCGTTTTCTATTTACTTTTTTTCACCTTTTTTAACTCTTTTTCTGTTCTGCTCGGTACCTCTGTTCGGCATCTGCTGTTCGGCATCTATAAGAATAGGCCGAACAGCAGTGAGTAGCCTGCCGGAGGTTCGGCTCAGCCGATCCAGATGTTGGATCGGCTGAGTCGAACTCCTTCTGCACTTCGGGTCAGCCGTACATGCTGGGCATGTTTGGCCAACCCGAAGCCACGTGAAGCAAGCCGATGTACAGCTGATTTCAGCCGATGTACGGCTGAAATCAGCCGTACCAGCCTGAAGTGAATAGCTGAACAGTGTTCGGCTCACTTCACTTCAGGTCGGTCATTCACTCGGCTGCCTACGGCAGCTTAGTGAATAGACCCCATGGTGTCTGCGTGTAGGTTTGCAACCTGAGCCAGCACTACAGGAAGAGGCACTCAGCTGCAAAGGGAAGTTCTCCCCAAGCATGAGAAGACATGAGGATTTAAAGTAAAGAGCAGCAAAGAGAAGGGAAACTACCATTGCATTGAGAAGGCACACATTGCAGTATTGGTTTATGTTAAAAAATCTGAGGGTTTAATGTCACTTTAAATGTCTTCAGCTGCTGAAACTGGACCAGCATCCCTGAAAGGAGATCATAATAATGTTCACATATTTGTCTTGGATGAAGCTAACATCATGATTACATCCCAAATGTTTTTTTTGGTATCGGTCAAAGGACCTCTCTAAACATATGGACAGTGTAAACTCGTGCCAGAAAAGCTGCCTTTCATTTCTTACATTAATTATTTTCCGCAAGCTGCTGCCCAGTAAAAGTATTTGTATAAATGCTCAACTGAATTCAGCAATTGTGTTGTGTAGTATGACGAGCTTTCTTCAGATCAGCCCTTGCCAAGCCCTTTATTGAAAGCAAACATCACAATCAGCTTGGGACGGGCACTGCACCAGAAAAAACTCTTTCAGACTAGGACCCTATAGTCTGGACTGTCAAAATTTGATTGTCGATATGAACCATTCTCCTTCCTTTCATTGTTCCTCCGTACATTCTATACAAGCCAAGAGCTCATCTTACTTTAATATTTTTTTAACTGCAAAACAAATGCCACCACGGTGATTTTGGATTGCATATGTCATACGTAGGGTGTTGGGCCTTAACTCTACTATCTTTTTTGATAAGAAATGGCCAAACAAAATGTCTATTAAATGGGGAGAACATATAATGCAGGGGTAGGCAGACATGACTCTCAGAGGCAGATGCATGATGGGATTTGTAGCTTTACCACAGCTGGAGGGCCGGAGTTTGCCTATCCATGACAGGGGTTGATTTACTAAAGGAAAATAGGTTGTTCACTATGCAAGAGAATTTTCACTTTTCAAGGGAATCTTCCCTTAGCTTAGTGATCGGGGTGAAGCTCTGCTGACTTCCATCATCCAATCATGTGCAAGCAAAAATACTGTTTATTTTTATTTTCCTTGCATGTGATTGGGTAATCTTTGCAAAGTGAATTTTCACCACATTTGCTGAGCTACAGTGAAAATTCTATTGGAAAGTGAACAGCCTTTTTGCTTTTAGTAAATTAACCCCTATATCATGGGTAGGCAATCTCCAGCCCTCCAGCTGTGGTAAGACTACAGTAAATTAACTCCACCATGTCTACATTGTTGCACTGAGGTATCCAGGCCTCAATGGATGATAGTTTATCAGAATAACTATTCAAAAAGTCTGGTGAAGGGGTCAGGCAGTCAATGACAGAAGAACACCAATGTAGTTATTTAGAGGGTATCTATGGTCAAAAACTATAAATAAATCTGTATTTGTGTTTTGAATTGTGTTTTGAATGTTCTATCCCGCGCCTAATAACCATATCACTCTACAACTCAACGTCTGAACAATGTAACATTATCATTGCTTGCTGGCAGCAGTTAATTCACTGCCTGTCAAGAATGTGTAAATACCTAAATGTCCATAACCTGACCACAGGTCTGATTTAAGTAGATTAATATTTTCGGCAAATGGCGTTGCCTGTGAACACATAATGTATCATGAATGCAAATATTTAGTAATATTGGAGCCCCTGAGAAAGTCTACTGCTGAAACATATAGGGCAGGATCAAACTACATTAAATCTGCTATGTCCGCCCCAGCTGAATAGGGTAGCTGTGTGCCATTGTTTGTGGAGCTGTATCGTGCATGCGTTATAGTGCTATATAGGCACTATGAAAATGTAAGTTTTAAATGTGATTCATTTCTAGTTTTGCATGATTTGGAAGCTTTTGTGGAAGCAACATGTGATATGGAGGTTTCATACTGTTCCATTGCTTTGAAGTGTGGATTGACACTTTCTACTGTCATAGGCTTTTCCTCAACCAAGGATATTATGCAGAGGGCTGTTTGACTTTCCTAATAGGGATCAGCATCTAAAGGTGGCCATACACCTGCTGATTATCGTACGATAATTGCGGGAAATCCCATGATCGTACGATAATCGGCAGGTGTATGGAAGGCGTGCGACCGTTTCTACTGTACGATCGCACGTCTTTTGTCTTACGAGCACGTTGGAAAACCAGCCGAAAATCGTAAGATTTTCGGCGGGTCTGTGGCGTGGTCGTAAGACAGATGCCAAACGGGCCGGTGTGCGCAAGCGCAACTGCCCGCTCAGCATTGCAGTCATCAGAAGCCCTCCCCTCAGGGGGGCGCGCTTGCGATGATCACAAGTAGGATCTGCCTGTCCAAGATGGGCAGATCATACAAGCTTTTAATTACCTTACAACCATCACAAGACGAAAGTCTTGCAATGGTTGTAAAGTGTATGGCCAGCTTAAAAGTGAGCTGCTGTCTATATAGGTGTTGGCTCAGGTGTTGTTTTCATTTTAAATTTAAGGTGCATTTGTAGTCTATGTTCATATAAGGGTGGATCGTGAAACACTTTTTTCACTGCTCACACAAGGATAAATGAATTATAACCTTCATGGACAATATATTTTTTTTGAATGCACATTGTAATTTTTAGGGTGAAACACAGATACTATTAATTTTATTTGAACTAAAATGTATCTTAGAAAAAACAATAAATATTTTTTAGAGCTTCCTTTTTTTGTCACATATTGTAATATTCTAATTTATTTACCCTATACCTTTTTAACACCATGTCTGTTGAGCTGCATTTTTCTGCACATGCATGTTGTTAAAAATTGTTTCCTATGTGCCTTGCTTACCTCCTACATGTGCAATGGTGTGCAGATGATATTTTCCCTGGCTCCTTTCTTTTTTCATGTTTTTTTGTTAACCTGTTTTTTTTTTCTCATATAAAACAAACTTTGACAAAAAAAAAGAAAGTGGCTTTAATTCTGGCTTCCTAATCTACACTGTAAACTTTCAATCTATCCCTGAAAATGTAATTTGAAATCGTAACCATGGTTAGTATCAATAACCTCCCCTTCTTTTTATATTATTATGAAGGAGAGCCAAGACTCATTCTTCTGCCCAAGGTTAAAAGAAAGTATTTATGATCTGCTAGAATGAGTATTATATTCCCCCTGCTGCGGTTCTGCATTAAAACTGTGTTTCAAAGCTCAGGGAAAGGGGAAAGGTTCGCAGGCAAAGGTTGGTTATACAACACTATGGGGTCTATTCACTAAGCTGCGGTAGGCAGCCGAGTGAATGATCGACCTAAAGCGAAGTGAGCCGAATGCTGTTCGGCTATTCACTTCAGGCTGGTACGGCTGAAATCAGCCATACATCGGGTGGCTTCGGGTCGGCCGAACATGCCCAGCATGTTTGGCCGACCCGAAGTGCAGAAGGAGTTCGACTCAGCCGATCCAACATCTGGATCGGCTAAGCCGAACCTCCGGCAGGCTACTCGCTGCTGTTCGGTCTATTCTTATAGATGCCGAACAGCAGTGAGTGAATAGCCGAATGCGGCTAGGCTGTTCTGCTTGGTCCCTCTGTGGGACCGAGCAGAACAGAAAAATAGTTTAAAACGTAGAAAAAAATTAATAGAAAACGATTGTGCTGAGCTACCAGTGATCTACCAGCAGAGTGTCCTCCCCCTCCTTCTCCTCCGTGCCTGCCGGATCTCCCAGGCATCCTCCCCGATGTCTGTGTCTATGTGACAGGCATTGGGGGAGGAGATCACAGAAGCAGGAGGCACACAGACATTACCTAGAGGAGAAAGGACGGCCGGACGACGGTCACCCTGTCAGCGGTGCCGCTGGGCTTCTCCTGTCTCACGCTTGGGCTAAAAGGGACAGCTGCTTTGGGCCCCTGTAAATTATGGGGCCCTTGGCAAATGCCCCTTTTGCCCTGCGTTAAAGACGGCCCTGAGCAGAGGGCGGGTGCAATGCTAGTTTGCTATTGGCTATTGCAAATTTAAATAGCCAATAGGAATCTAGCAATGCATTCCTATGGCCAAAATGTATTTATTTTTTCTATTCCGACACGGCTCCGTGTCAGAATAAAAAAAAAAAAGAAAAAGCAGTGTTTCTCTCCTTGGCGGCCGGGAGCGGGAGACTCCAGGAGCGGCCGGGAGAGTTAGTAGTTTGTTCAGTTAAAATTGGAAAATGAAAGAGAGAAGCTGATTGGTTGCCATCCACAGGTGCTCCAGATTTTGTCTGCTCCAGTTTTGATAAATTCCCCAGTCAGTATATTCTGGGAGGCAGCTGACCTCGTTTATTGAGCACATAATATTGCTAAACTTAGACCTGACCAACTGGAGCAAGCCCAGATCATAACAAATCTAAATCCGTATAGTGACCTTTTTTGTGGCCAGGCAGTGTATTTGTAATAGATCAATATATTATGCTTAGTTATCTAATATGAACATATATATTTTTATTGTAATTATCTATTCAATGCTTTTATTTATAGGACTAATCTAAAAGTAGACAGTGAAGAAGACCTGTTAAGACCAGTGGTAAGAAACCAAAGTTTAATGTTAACATATATTTTATATAAAAACAAGCTGCTAATACCATTCAAATGTAGTTATATAAAATATCAGGATCGAATCAGAACCAAGGAGAATTTAAATAACAATATGACTCTTAGAGATGAGTAAAACAGTTGTATGAACCTGGGTTCATACCTACATTGCCAATCCACAATTATATGTTCCCAGTAGATCGCCACTTTACTCCAGGGGATGCCCAATATTGGTGAACTGGTCAAGAGATCTAAAGGAAACTTACCAGTTCACTTCTCCAAGTGCAGAGCACACAATGCACCCCCTTCCCCCATAGGAGGCCTGTCATCCAATGGAGTTCAGTAGAGTGGCAGGATCTAATGCAGATCCAACTTTTATTTAAAAGCAGAGGGCACAGGGAGATTATGGAGTAAGATTCACTGTCTCACTGTGCTGTAATAACCCTAATAAGTAAGAACTACACCTTCCTTTTATGTGCTGTCCTAAAAAAAGGACCTGATACTTATTATGATAAAGCAATGGGGAATCTAAACGCGTAATGCTCTGTACACTCTAGATTAGGGGTGGGCAAACTCCGACCCTCCAGCTGTTGTGGAACTATAAATCCCATGAGGCATTGCAAGATTCTGACAGCGACTGGCCTGAGTCCCACCCCTGCTCTAGATGTACTAGTACTGCTGATATTGTTAAAAACAGAGATATTGAAATATGTATGTGTGACCCTTAAATGATGATTGATTTTCTATATTTTAATCTATCCAAGTTTGGAGATGCAGTCTTGAACTATACTAGTGACTCTGAGTTTACAATTGGTAATCAATCAGTAAGCTTGACAGGCAGACCTATGTATAGTTGAAACAGTTGTTAGGCATGCTCAAAGAAGACTTGGCCTTTAAAATTAGTTTGTAGAGTAAAACACATTACTCAGGACATAGACTATGGTGCCCAACATGGGATAGAAGGAGAACACATGACTCAGATACAAAGAGTATGGCACTCCCTTATGCTAATCAGAAAGACTTTTAAGGTAAACATCCCATAGGTTATTTTAAAGTAAAAGCATGGATATAAAGATGGGGGATGATCCTTCAAGACACACTCGTACACACACGCACAGCATCACAAAGACAGGCCCACTCTCACATTGAATAGACAGACACCTGTTAGGACTATTTTTACTTACTAACTAAAGACATGTTTCTTAAGCATCTTATAGATTTCTGCTGTAAGATATACTATATTTTGTAATCATCAAGCATCTTATAGACTCATTCTGTAAGATATTCCATATCCTGTAATATTTTGTTACTTTAAATTGAACACATTCTGAACTTTATGCAACAACGGAAACAATCATCTTTTATTGAACTTTTCCACCCTATGCTTCGGGAAAAGGAATATGACATGAAAAATCATATTTCGTGTCATTTTCTTACATTTAATGGTGAGCTTCAGCCCGATTCGAGTTTTTCCACATTTTCCAAGTTTTTTCTCCTCACCTTGATGAGAGGGAATGATGGACAATTTGCAAAAATCAGCAAATTATGAGATCAAGCTTCAGGTGAAAAAACTTCATACGGAACCATCGAAAAAGAACCTATACGAAGCAAGGAAAGGAATTTGCGTGCAAAGACTATACATTTTGGTGATGTCACAATTTCGCCATAGAGGGAATTCCACCCATAGATCATGCTGGGAGGGAACACACTGCAGAGGTGTATACACATTCGTGGTGTGTTTATAAGGTAAGTAAATCAACCCCATAAAGTTATGGGGTAATCTTTGGAAACAATGCTTACAGGATAATGTGTGATTTGAAAAGCAACTCTTTTACTGTAAGTTAAAATGAAAATGGTGAAAATGTTTAAATTACCTGACAGATATTAACCAATACATAATGTTTGTATGATTACACAGGATACAGTCGAGCACAGGGCAGAGTAGATAAGGGTATCACAATAGGAATACAGTGAATGTGTTCATTGTCAGACTTTGACTGATTATGTAGATGACCTGTACAAATCAGATTCATATTTAAGATTATTCAATTGTCTGAATTACAGAATGATGTAAAAAGGATTTCTGTAATTACAAGGACAAGAGGTAGCAAATGTTACATACAGGAAACTAAAGAACAGTCTTTTGTACCAGAGAGTGGAGAGACACATCAGAACTGAATTTCCAGAGCAGGGTGGAGCAGTAGTTTGTTTCTATTGTGGAAATTCTGGTCATATGAAAATACAGTGCTGGAAATATCAGAATGATTTACAAATAGAAATCTGGGAAACAGAAAATGAAAAGTCAATTTCTGTACAATCTGCTCTCCCGTGTTCTAAAGAAATAATGTAGATTTGTTTTACTCCGATTGTCAAACAGATGAGTAAGTTTACCGTCAGTAATGTCAATAGGTCAAGTACTATGGTATGCAGTGATGTCAAGGAAGGTTTATTACCATTGCCAGAATTAGACTGAGACTTAAACACTCTACTTTTAGAATATCTAAGTCTTTTGTTATTTGATGAAAGTAGAAGACCCATATACAAGGGTTACTAAATGGTTCAAAGATTAAATTAAATTATTAATTGATATTGGTGCTGAACTGAGTTTAACTAAAATTAAACTATTTTTGAAGTCTTATGCACCTGAATGTAAAATTGTGGGTTTCAATGGTAAAGGAAATTCCATAGCAAAAATGGTTTGTGATGTAAAATTTGAGATACCAGGATTAATAAAAACTGACATTGATATTTGGTATTGTCACTACACAGAGAATATTTTGGGTACAGCCATATTTGGTAAACTAGGCTGGATTATTGAGTAAAGAAAGGAAATTATATGGAAAGATCTAGCTAGGTCTAGATCATTGGTAATTGACCCCTCTGTATACAGTAAAGTTGGAAGTATATGTACAACAATTACTGATGTGTTTTTAGAACACACATGGCCTGAAACTGATGATAATATTGTTTTGAGGAAATTGGTACAAATGTTTCAGCCATTATTCAGGAATTACTCCAACAAGGTATGGTAAGGAAATAAAACTCAGTTGTAAACAACTATGTTTGGCCAATTAAAAAAATTCTGATAATTCATATTCTTGTATCAGTTGATTTCAGGACACTAAATAAATATATCCCAAATAACAAGTCTGTTGTTCCTGAAAATCCTGATATTATGTCACACTTAGATGCCAAGGCTAAAATTTCCTAGGGACTGGAAATTGGGAATAGTAATTTTCCTATACCATTAACTAAAAGTTGTCAGTACAAGTTTGCATTTAGAATGCACAGTGTGTATTTACCAGACTGAGGAATAGACATTAGTGACAACATAGTCTATTTTTAACATATGACTATTTGCTTTTGAATTGTTGCAAGATGCAGGACTGAAATTTAATACAGTTCAGTTACTAAAAAGGAAGTGACATTCTTTCCAATGCTGATTGGTCATGGGAAGAGGCAATTATTGCAAGAACATGTCAAGGCAATATTGGCTATTCCTATCCCCAAATCTCACAAGGCCTTACATGATTTTTTGAATAAAGTACACTTATGTAAAGATTACATACAGGGATCTGCAGAGGAAGTCAGACTTTTGTATTTATTGTTAAAGAAACAAATCTGATATATGTGGTCAGTGGGATGAAGTACAGCTAAATGCATTTGGAACATTGAAGAAAGACCTATAGAATGCTCCAACATTAGCAAGTATAGATGTTTCTTCAGCTGTTTTTGTTTTACAAAGACATGTTTTTGAAGATGCTATTTTTTACACTCTACCAGCTCAGAGATGGTAATAGGAGAATGTTAAGCTATTTCTCCAGACTGTAAAGAAACACATGGAGGAAAAGTTTCTGTCACATGTTAAAGAGATGTTAGGAGTTTTTATAAAGCTGTCAAAGTAAGTGAAAACATTATGAGATCCAATTTTACTAAAATCTGATCCATTATTAAATGTTTTTCTCAAGGAAAATGGTTCAGAAGAATTGCATGGAAAGTGTTCAAAATGGTTAAACGTTTTGACATTTCATTTACCTTATGTGATGACCACCCAAAAATGCCTTTTTAACTTTATTTACAAGGAAATTGGTTCATGTGTACAACAGATGTCCTTTTAGAAGAATCGTAAACAACATGTGTTTGTCACCTCTGCAGATGCCATCAGAAAGAAGATTTGCATTAGGACATAGATAGTCAGGTTCAGACCCAACTGCGATGCGTGTTGCTGCGATTTACCGCGATTTTACTGCAATTAATTTACTGTATTGATTTTTCCCCCCTAAATTTGGGATTTCAGGTGCGTTCCAGTGCATTTGCAAGCATTTTTGATACGTTTTGATGTGTTCCGGTGCAATCGCAGAGTGCAGAGGTCAGTTGTAACGCAGAGTGCAGAGGTCAGTTGTAACGCAGAGTGCAGACGTCAGCTGTATAACACAGAGTAATCCGATGCAGCTAAAACAGGGCAAGCAGTATATTTTCTGACTGCATCGGAACGGACTGCGCTGGTGTGAATAGAGCACCAGAAATCCCATAGGAAAGCATTGTGATGTATTTTGGCTGCAGCAGCCAAACTGAACGGACTGCATCACAACTGCATCTGGTGTGAACTAGCCCTTAATATGGTCTCAACAGTAAAAGTTATTTGAAACCCCTGAGTTTGGGTTTCCCCAACACCTACAAAGGTTCAACAGACCCAGTTTTTCAAGATTTGTTCCTATATTTTTACATTATTAAAGCCAACTTTCAGTTTAAATCATCTAAATACGTTCCAGGTGCTTCAAAATAAAAGGTGCGCAAAGTCTTACAGCTGGTTTTCTTTAGAAAGCAGCCACAGCTGCATAGAAAAGCCTGTCCCCTGCCAGCATTCTGCAGAGAACAAAACTTGCTCTGTGTGTGAAAGCAGTGTCCAATGCTTCCCCTGCTGACTAAGAGCTAGAAATCTAATGTGCCCTGCTGACTGGAGGGCTTTAGCTCTGACTTAACAGATGGTGTGTCAGACCTCTGCAGAGAGGCTACTTCTTCCACACAGAATGTAAGGGAATTGCCTTACATAAGATTTTTAACACCTTTGGTTTGACGCACTCGAAATTTATCTAGCTGATTTAAAATGAAAGCTTAATCTGGTTATAAGTAAAGCATGTAACAGAGTTTAAACAGAGTCCTGGCGGCAAAAGCCGCCGGGAGTCTGTTTAAACAGCCCCAATGCTGGCGACGTACGCTGTACGTCGTCAGTCACTAAGGGGTTAAAAAGAAAAAAGACAAGTTTTTGACAAGTCTTTTATTTAAAAAAAAAAACAACGACTTGGCGAAAGAAAACAAATTAGAAAAAGACAAAAACCCGTCGTTCGCAGACCCGTCCACATGCGACAAACTTCCGCCGCAAAATGGTATTCTGACAGATGCCGGCAAAATATAACAAATTGGGCAGAGCTGGCGGTGACATCCCTGCTAGCTCCTCCTAACTGTTTACATTTGTCCGTCACCTGGCAGGTCCAGGACAAATCAAAGGCATGGGCGGAGCCAGCTGTGACATCACGGCTGGCTCCACCCAGCTGTTTACATGTAATGACAGCCCAGTGTCCTCGAGGATGCTGGACTGTCATTGAAGGACAACAACTGGGTCGGAGCAAGCCATGACATTTTTGCTTGCTCCGCCCAGCTGTTGTCTTTTGCAGGGAGAACAGTCAGCTTCGCCTGACCTTTCTTCCTGCTTCGGGTGTCACTACGGCTGAGCCGGGCCGACGGCTGCTGTACGGTCTATTGTGAAAAGGGCTCAGACAGCCGAAGTGAGCCGAAGGATCAGCCAAAGCTACGTCTGGATTCTTCGGTTCTTTTGTGAACAACCCCCAAATTTTATTGCTATAATAGTGTTATGGAAATTCGCTTGGTTCAACGCACAAATACATACTGCGCTACAGTGCGCCAAACACAAAGAATTTCCCCTGTGCTTTAAAGCACAATTGTATTAAGCTCTTTTGTGTGAGGACTGGCAGTACCTCTTTATAGTCAATGTAGCGTTAGGACACAAGAGACAGATGCTGCTTGCTTGATAATCCCATGCTTAGAGAGCCAGAGCACAGGTATGTTTATTGTTTTATACCTGCCCAACAGGAAGTGATGTCAGACAGGAAGGGATGTCTCAAACAGTGAGACAGGAAGTGATAGCAAACCAGCAGATGATTTCAACAACCAGCAAACCAGGAAGTGGGGCAGACAGGAAGTGAACAGGAGCCAGATAACAAAACACATTAGTAGAATAATCTATTACCACCGGAGTGAGATTATGATTCTCATGCGTGCTTATTTACAGACAACGTCATATTATCTCCAGCGGTTGATCAGACGCACTAGGGACAATAAACGCACGTTCCTTTCATATACTGCGTTCCAAACAAATGTATCCACGCAAGCCAATAAATCCATGCATTGCACGTGGGGCCCCAGCCGGCGTCCATACATTCGCCAAGAAGACACTGCTTTGCCACACATAAAATATCTACTCCAATGGTTTAACCCCCAGTGCCTATTTAAACCGAGACACTGAGAGACTAATGACAAAATATTACAATACATTAAAAACACATCCTAGTAAAATTTCCACAACAATAGAAACACACATAAGGATGATATACTAAAATGAAAATATAGTGGTGTAAGTTCTCCCTCTGTAGAGGTTGAGTTCAGTAAACTAAACCCAATGATATCATTTCTATCATTTCCATGGTGTAAAGTCAACATTGGATCTGAAGTTCCTGTTGTTAAGTCCCCGATAAAAGTTTTATTCCAAACACAACTAAAATCAAAGCAGTTACAGATGTGGCAGCTGTCAGCAAGTGCTTAAAATATTATTAGAGTCAAAATGTTTTTAAGCTATTTCAAATGCTGATGAAATCACTTACAATGGATGCTGCTTCTTGATGTTTAAAAGTTTCAGTTTCCTGCAGAACCAGCTGGTTCCCTGAGCACTGGACCTGAAAACCCTGTTTTAGGGTGACTCCTTTCCCTTGCAGGGTGCTATGGAGCCACCCTTGTGTGTGCTAGTAAGCTGTGTGTGTCTCCGCAAACACAGGCATGGCAAAGCAAGTCACTCTCCAGCTCCATGCTTCTGCTTCTTCCCTCCATCCTTCTTCCTTCTCTAAGCTAATAGATGTACATCTGCTGGAGACTGTGCTGTCCCTTGTGATCTTATACTGGACAGTGAGTGAAAAGCCGAATGCCACCGAGCGGCATTTAGCTCGGCTATTCTGCTCATTACCTCCGAGGTAGCGAGCAGAATAGAAAATAAATGAAAGGAAAGGGGGAAAAAAGTGTTTAATGGAAAAGCACCTTGTCCCCGTGCAGATGGGGACAAGGGCCTCTTCCCCACAAGCCCTGGGGCGGTGGTTGTGGGGGTCTGCAGGCAGTGGAGCTTATTCACAGGCAGTGGAGCTTTAATAAAGGAGAACCCAGCTGCGACCCCCCTTGTGAATGAGTAAGGGGTACTTGTACCCCTACCCATTCACTTTATTGACTAAAGTGGTATGAAGATGTCATACCACTTTAGTCAATAAAGAGATTGACCAGACATCATATTGGAGTGCAAGTGGCTTTTTCGTTGCGTACAGTAGATGCGGTCGCACTCTGCCCATACACCTTCCGATTATCGTACGATAAAAGCGTGTGATCCCGCGATCGGCAGGTGTACGGGCACCTTTAGATTCATTTCAAGTTCAGCTTTACTGGCTGTTAATTTTACAAAATCACATTATTTTTTTAAGTAGAAAAGTACCTCTTGAAATGAAAAATACTCCTCTATATATGGTTGTATTATCTATAACACTCATCATTGGCCAGTGCCTAGGGTGTGGATGTTAGAGGTGTCAGCCCAAGCTTAAAAATGTACAACCTGTAATAATAATTTCCTTATTTTATTTTGCTCCTCTGGCCACCTCTGAACATTTGTGAATGCATTCAACAAGAGAACCGTAAGGGTAAAGCCGGTGCAGGTGATGTTGAGAGGACTCAGAGAGGGGAGAAGGGAGTCAGAAGGCTCTTTAGTTTGGTGAAGAGATGGAAAACTAATGTTACCAACATATGTATTCATAGAAGAGATCTTTTTAGCTTACTTATTTAAAATAAACACTTAGACCAGCCAAAATGAACTACTTTGTGGCACAAAATTTGCAGAGCTTAATAGGGATTTTCTTTCCCTTTTCAGATATGAATGGCATAAGCATCATTCTTCTCACCTGGTTCATGGCTCTGGTTCATTCCCACATTGTTATGGAAGAGAAAACAGAGAGGACCAATGCTGGAAGTGCTGTACGGCTTCCTGAGCTTCACCCACCAATATCCATTGTAGGTCAGTAGGAATCTGGTATGATGATGTTTACACATTTGTAACAATGGTAAATAAGCTTTAAAACTGTCTGTAGCTGCAGGCATTGAGGTAATTCTGTCAGCAGTTAAGCTATTCCAGTACTTCCCTAGTAGATCATCATGTGTTTACATGTGAGATAAGAAGGCAGGAAGAGTGCTGAGTCACTGCTTGGGGGTGAAACAGAGTGAGCTGCTAAGTCACTGCTGGGAGGGGGAGCAGTGCAAGTTGAGCTTCTGAGCCTCAGGAGGAGCTGCTGAGTCACTGCTGAGTCACTGCTGGGAAGGGGATCAGGAGGAGCTGCTGAGTCACTGCTGAGTCACTGCTGGGAAGGGGATCAGGAGGAGCTGCTGAGTCACTGCTGAGTCACTGCTGGGAAGGGGATCAGGAGGAGCTGCTGAGTCACTGCTGGGAAGGGCAGCACGGGGAGTGGAGCTGCTACATCACTGCTGGCAGAAAAACGGAATCTATAAACTGTATAAATTGCATATTTTAAAACTCACCTTTAATCCCAACAGCCAGGAATTCACAGCTCCTAGAGCTAGAATTGTATTTCTGTCTTATATCTAATTGTATAAATAACTATACACAAAACCCTAACCCTAAGCAAGTAATGCACAAAGTGCAAAGGTCGGTGGTACGTAATGCACAGAGTGCAGATGTCAGTAGTAAGAAACATACAGAGTGCAGAGGTCAGGAGAAGGTAATGCACAGAGTGCAGCGGTCAGGAGGTAATGCACACAGTGCAGCGGTCAGAAGGCTCTGATGCACATAGTGCAGATGGAAGTAATGCACAGAGTGCATCGGTCAAAATCGGTTTGTTTTGCTTGACCGATTTGGTGCAGCGACGCATGGGGTTTCTCAGCTGCCATTAGGATGTGCGGGATCCCTTGTGTGTTTCTGTGCCTTTATGGAGGTTGGGCGTCCTCCTGACAAACCTGCACCCAATTTGATATCTTCTGCCCCCATGTGCTCCAAGATGGAGACTCTCATAGTTTAGAGTCAGGAACACACTATAAGAGGTGCCTTGGCGCGGCAGTGCGGCTTTCACATCCTCTGCAAAAGACGTGTATCCAAACCTCTGTCATTATCCTTAGTGGTGAGACAAGTTGTTTTACATGCTGGTTTGTGAGTGTGCCATGATGCCTTTCTGCTGTTTTACAGCACAGGGGTGGGACGCAGAGTGCAGAGACTTACAGTGCCTATAGATCATCTGATGTTCAGGTGCTCTGCCCTCTTCCTCTCCTGCCTTCCTGTTTCCAGGACTGGCTCTCTTGCTGTCTGCCCGCCAGTGGTGGTGGTGTAGCTTTCCTCCCAGCCCATAGCAGCTGGAGTGGGCGGAGGAAGCTGCACGTTGCCGCCGAGGAGTCCGACTATTTAAGCGGGCATTCAGTGGGCAGCGGAACTGGCTTTTCTCCTTCACGGCCGCTGCAGCTACAGAGATGCCGGGAAGAGAGAGATGACAGGCGGGAGTGCCGTGGCGGCGGCCATTTAAAGTGCCCCCCCAGTCCGCCCCTGCATTTTTCTGCTCCCCCGCCAAAGTTACCCAGGCAGCCCGCATGGCATCAGGGGGACCCCTTTGTTCCCCTGTGCCCCAGTCCCCATAGCGGCCGCCTGGGTCACTATGGCAATAGGTTCTGCCACAGGCGAATTAGGCAGCTGCGAGGCCCCCGTGAGGGCGAGGCCTTAGGCGACCGCCTAACTCGCCTAATTAGAGAGCGGTCTCTGTACACAGTGTTTGAAGGAACTCGGCAGGTAGGTTGTTCCAAACATCTTGGAGTACTTACCACAGATCTTCTGTGGATGTCGGCTGCCTCAAATCCTTCTGTCTTTTCATGTAATCCCAGACAGATGCGATGATGTTGAGATCAGGGCTCTGTGGGGGCCAAACCATCACTTCCAGTACTCCTTGTTTTTCTTTATGCTTAAGATAGTTAGTGATATTGGCTGTATATTTGGGGTCATTGTCCTGCTGCAGAATAAATTTGGGGTCATTCACATGCCTCCCTGATGGTATGGCATGATGGATAAGTATCTGCTTGTATTTTTCAGCATTGAGCACACCATTGATCCTGACCAAATCTCCAACTCTATTGGCAAAAATGCAGCCCCAGACTTATAAGGAACCTCCACCATGCTTCACTGTTGCCTGCCAACACTCATTATTGTACCGCTCTCCAGCCGGACGGCAAACAAACTGCCTCCTGCTACAGCCAAATATTGCACATTTTGACTTATCAGTCCAGAGCTCCTGCTGCCATTTTTCTGCACACCAGATCCTATGATTTTGTGCATAGTTGAATCATTTAGCCTTGTTTCCATGTTGGAAGTATGGCTTTTTGGCTGCAATTCTTCCATGAAAACCACTTCTGGTCAGACTCTTTTTTATTAAATGTCTTTTATTATTTTCTTAACTTTTTTTAATTTTACAATTTTTTTTTACAGTCATTTAAATAATGTTTAAGCATTTTTTTCCATTTATTTACGTTTTTGCTATTCTGCACATGTGGCAAAAGATAA